GCCTTTAGCTTCTCTTCTTTTCTTGGCTATTTGTAAAGCCTCCTCAGACAATCACTTTGCCATCTTGTATTGCTTTTTCTTCTTATGAAATGTTTATGGTCAACTTTTAAAAAGATATATCAACAAACACTGTATACACCACACTGCATAGTCTCACTAACCATATGAGTAAACATGGATGGGACAATGAGAATAGATTTCAATAAAATATTTACATGAAATATATATTTATATATTTTATATACAAAATTTTATAATTTATTTACCATATACATAAATAGATACATTTATATATAAATATATGATATATATATATATGTATATATATATATATATGCCATCCATCAGAAAAACATATTTCTCCCCACAAAACTTCATAGCAAAGTACTCAAAGTACTCACCAAAGTACTCACCAAAGTCCTCAAACAGGCTACTGGGTACCAGGTTTATAGGAATTACAAAAAGGAGTTCTACTTACCATGTTAACATGAATAATGCCCCTCAGTACTTTAAAATACTTGGACAATAGGAAACAAATTAGAAGCCAGTAAGTGACATTTGTTTGCATCAACAGACACCAGGAAACTAGAACCCACAGAAATGATGTTATTTGACTGAGCAGAGCCCCGCTAGGACCCTCAGAGCATTCTGCCCAGGCTAACCCTCTTCCGAGTGTTCCTCTCGTCTTTCGCTTCTGATGCAACTAAATAGAAGCAGTCAGAGAAAGCAGCCCTGAAATTAGGAAGATGATTTCTTCCACTATATCAAATAGTCTCTTATTAAGTCTTAGGAAGAGCAGCTGACATATAGTCCCTGCCAGAAATCCTCCACGTCATTTCAGTAAGTAAGGTCTTTTCATGTTTTTCAGTTAAGAAATTTACTTTCTGTTGCCAAATAAAAATGCCCAGGAAACAGAAAAATAATAATTGTATGAGATGGGAATGATGGGGGCGGTAGAAATACTGGTATTATTCTGGTGACAGCAGAAATTACCCAGTTTTATGAAAAGAACCAAGATGGCTGCAGTCTGGAAAATGAAACATAGTCTTGGATCAGGAAAATATTCTCTAAATGTGATGCTGGAAGTCATACAAGCTACCTTTTAAGAGCTTTCTAAATGCCAGGCACTGTGCTACAGGGCTTTAAATGGACCTATTTTAACTCTGCTCTCACCCAGTGAGGAAAGCACTAAACCTTTACATGGAAGTAAACATATGTAAAGTTTACATAACTTGCCCAAGCTTACACACTTGTTGATATCTGCAGACCACAACAGATACTTTTAGAATAACTAAGTATAACCAAATGGCTGTAAATATGTTCTTATTTTTATTACTGAAAATGATGAATGAGTGTAAATCGTATGAATTTAAAGAGTTTTTTTTGTAAAATATAAGCAAGAAGATACTAAATCTGAATGGCTCAAAATTGTGAGCTTTGTATTGAGAGAAATCACCATTGAAAAAGAAATAATCTAGGGCCAACCAGTTGAGATTACAGCTTTCATTTCATTTATATGAATTATGCCTCTCATTCTTTTCTTGACTTAAATAGGTAAAAATTCTAATGCTCCAGTTTACTTTGAAAGATGGTTCCCCATTTATTTTTATACATAAAAATACTGAGCAAGAGAAATAGATACTCCTGCATTATTTGCTAACATAACGTGCTAAGACTCCATAAAAACATACCAAATCACAATAGAATTCTCTGTAAATTCTGACATACATCTGCGATGGAAAAGGGTACAAGACAGAGTTAAATACTAAGATTTTTTTCAATTATTCTTATCAATTATTATCAATTTTTTAAATTAGTCTTAAAAACTAAAAGACAAAATTAGAAGAAGCAAAAAGACAACACTTGTACCTTTAATACATGTTGGCATCTCAGGTTCCCAAGTGTCATTACCACCACAGAACACTAGACTGCTGCCATTAAGGTAAAAACCCTGGAGGCATTCAAACACCACCACTGATTGGTAGGAAAATTTTTCTCTACTTCCTGACACCATTATTCCATGTTCGAGAAATGGTCGTTCACATTTGACAACTGAAAAGTGGAGAAATCCCAGAATTAATAAAAAGCTGCTTTCACACAGGACCAGAAAAACTAGTGCAAAGTGGGAAGAAAGAGGCCAGCAATAAAAAGCAAGATGCTAATTGGAAAAAAAAAAAAAAAGACTTCATTTGTGCATTTGAATTCCAGGGAAATAGATTTAGAAAAACAACATTTTTCCATTTAGAAGCAACTGTCATTATAGTTTATTGGCTTTCTACATTTTTTGTATGTTGATCCTATATTTTGCGACCTTGCTAAAACATCAGTCTTTGAGATAATCATGTTGTAAGTGAATACGGACTATTTTATTTCTCTCTTCCCAACACTGTTCAGTCGTTCAGTTGTGTCTGACTCTTTGTGACCCCATGGACTGTGGCATGCCAGACTTCCCTTTGTTGAGAAGTTCTATATTCAGTAAGGATCTTGTTTATAATTTTCTTTCAAATTTTTTGTCTGCCTTTGGTATCAGGGTAAAGTCCCCATGAAGTGAGTTGAGAAGCACTTGTTTCTCATATTTCTTGAAGAGTTTGTGTAGAGGTGCTATTATTTATGCAGTGTAAGGCAGAATTCCCCAAGAAGGCCATCTCTCAGATCAAGGAGGTCTCTGTTCTCATTGTGGGAAGGTTTTTAAGTACAAATTATATTTCCTTAATAGATATAAGACTATTCAGGCTACCCATATCTTTGTGTGGACATATTTTGGTATATTTTTCTTCAAAGGAATTTGTTAATTTCATTTGTTGTCAAATTTATAAGCATAAGTTTGTGATATTACAAATATCATCATCATAATATTCTTTAATCATCCCTTTAAATATCTGTCTGTATAATATATTAGCAATGTCCTCTTTTTTATTCTTTGTAAAAATTTATTTTTCATTTTTAAACAGCTTTTAAAGGGTACATTCCATTTAGTTATTACAGAATAGTGACTATGTTCTTCATGTTAAACAAGACATTCTTGTAGCCTCTCTTATAGTCATGCTCCCTACCTCTATATTGCCTCTTTCCTCTCTCTGCTAATAACCAGTAGCTTGTTCTCTCTATCTGTGAGTCTGTTTCTTTTTGTTATATATACTAGTTTGTTGTATTATTTAGATTCTCTATATAAATGATATCAAATGATATTTTTCTTTGTCAATTTATTAAATATCTTTTTTCTTTCTTGTCAGCCTCATTATAGCTTTATTTATTTTATCAATCTTCTCCAAGAACCATGGGGTTTCATTGGTTTTCTGTATTATTTTCTCTTTACAATTTTATTGATCTTTCTCTATTTATGATTATCTTATGTCTCCTTATTTTGAGTTTGTTTGCTCTTTCTTTTTTACTTTTGTAAGGTGGAAGCTTCAGTTATTGACTTGAGACATTTTTTTTGTAACACAGATTCATGCTATAAATTTCCCTCTAAGCAATGCTTTTGCTGTATCACACAAATTTTGCTATTTTGATATACCATGTTTTTCATTTTTATTCAATTCAGAATATGTTCTAACTTTCCTTGTTACTTTAACTATGGGTTATTTATGAGTATCTTTCATAATTTTCAAATATTTGAGAATTTTCTAGATTAGCTGTTTTAATTTCTATGTTTATTCCATTTTGACCAGATAATGTATTCAGAATGATTTTAATTCTTTGGAATGTGCTAGAAAATGACCTCCCTTAGAAAATGTTCCATGTCGAGTTGAAAAGAGTGAATATTATCTTGTACTCAGTGACTGTTTCCTTCCAAGAGTCAAAGCCCCTCTAGCATCTCCTTGCTTCATGTCACTCGAGTGCCTTAAACATTGTTTTAAAAATGTATTTTGTCCAGAGTTTGTCATTATTATCAATGAGAGAGCTAGCCTTTAACAATCTGTACTACCGTTATTTGTAGCCAGAACGCTCAGACATCTTGCAATATAAGGAAAAACTTTATTTTTAAGGCAGTGTGTGTTGAGTGTTTTAGTTTTTGAAGCAGAAAGTCTTGATTTTTATACACACACACATTAGTTCACAATGTGTAAACTGGAATGTCAATAACACCTGGGGTGAGGAGTGGAAAACCCCACAACTACAACTATTTTCTATTCAGTTTGGCCTAGATTAAATTAGAAGTCAATGTAAACAGAGGAGGAAACTTGCATGATTGTTTTACTTACTGGCAAAATTATTTACTTATTGGTAAAACTCAATGGACATGAGTTTGAGCAAGCTCCAGGAAATGGTGAAGGACAGAGAAGCCTGGCGTCCTGCAGTCCATGGGGTTGCAAAGAGTCGGACATGGCTAAGTGACTGAACAACAACAAAACTATTTACAAAGTATTCCACAGTATTTACAAATAAAGGAGATAAACGGAAATATGATTACCTTTACACAGAGGAGGGTCACTACTCCATTTGTTAGGTTCAATACAAACAAGCTTGCTCTGTCCAACAAGTGAATATTCATCTGGTCCATTTGAAAGATCACAACTATAAGTTATCAATTCATTATATTCAAATATATTTCTGTAGCTATTGGTGTGTTTTCCATGTTTTATTTTTGGAGGTTGTCCACAATAAATCTCTTAAAAGGGGAAAAAAAGAGAAAATGAAGGCAAAAGAAAGGTGAAAGAGTAAGACAGTGTTAGTAAAGTCCTGGGCACTACCTTCAATAAGCTCTTTAACTTATGATTTCTAGAAGTTAACTGTGAATCCATTATCCATTGAGAGGGAAGTTTCCATGAGAAAATGTATTTTCCCAAATTCAACTCATATAGAAATTAACTTTTAAGAACCAAACTCACTTCCTTAAATACCTATTAAAGTATCTATATGAAATTCCTATATTATTTATAAGGACATGCAAAGTTTTGTTCTAGACATCATAAGAGATGGAAATTTAATGAGAAAATATGCTTGTGACTACATGGAAACTTACATTACCATATGTAAAATAGATAGCCAACGGGAAGTTGCTGTATGGCCCAGGAAACTCAAACAGCGCCTCTGTATCAACCTAGAGGGGTGGGTTGGGGAGGGAGATGGGAGGGAGTTCCAAAAGGGAGGGGATGTATGCATACCTATGGCTGATTCATGTTGAGGTTTGACAGAAAACAACAAAATTCTGTAAAGCAATTATCCTTCAATAAAAAAATAAATTAATTTAAAAATAATAGTAAAATCCACCACTAGCTAAGAAATGCTTTATAATTTATAAACATATCCATTCACTACATCAGAGGTTCACGATAATACCAAAATACTATCTTATTTCACTGTCATCCTTGTAGCTGTATAGTGAAATTTCCCAGAATCTACAAATTGTGTGAATTTGAAACAGACTGAGTCCAGATGTCTTCCTTTAAGCCAGATATTTGCAAAAAATGTAAAATAAATGCCACTATTCTGGAAATTTTTTATTTTTTTCATAAAATATGGTGTATGTATTAACATGTATTGACTTTATACAAGTCTTAAAAGTGATTTAATAAAAAACTATTTTAAAAACTTTCATTCTAATTTCAATAAAATGAATACCAGTAGACATCAACCACACAAAGAAACAGTTTCCCAGGGGGCACTAGTAGTAAGAACCCATCTGCCAATACAAGAGACATAAGAGACGCGGGTTCATTCCCTGGGTGGGGAAGATCCCAAGGAGGGTGGCATGGTAACCCACTCTAGTATTCTTGCCTGGAGAATCCCAGGGTGGGCTACAGTCCACAGGATCGCAGAGTTGGGACACGACTGAAGCAAGGCACATAAAGAAGAGCTCTTTGGGATCATTGCTGATTTAAAAGCAAAAACAGATCCCGAAGCCAAAAAGTTTGAACGTTCTTGATCCAAATTCTAAAGTGAGAATTTACTTACTTTCACAGTGTGGAATTGTATCACTCCAAGACACATTCTCTCCAATAAGGTTACAAACTATAATAGGTTTTCCTCTTAAGAAATAACTAAATAGAAAAAAGAAAAGGTTACTGTTTCCTTAACAGCACACATAATAGTGAAAACTTTTATATGGTTGTTTCTCTATACTATAGTACTTTGAGGGAGACATTTCTTAAGTGACATGATAAAAATGAAAGTGCCAGCCAAATCTGCAATTTTAGTCAAATAAAGAGTTATTGCCTGTGAACACACATTGGCCCACAGCAAAAAGTCCCCCTGACTCTGTCATGCTGGCATCTTGGCTCTCTCTGGAAAAGGCATCACACTTTCACTTCTAAGCTTTTGCCCCCACCACTCTGTTCAGTTAGAACTGAGAAAGAGAGACCAGGCTCTAGAGCTTGCCTGCCTGGATTCAAGTTCTAGTAGCATGATGGACTTGTTATTTGAGCTTGGGAAAGTCTTTTACTGTTTTTCTTGCTCAATTTCCTCATCTATGTAAATGACACAATAGGACATACCTCATGGGATTGTTTTGAGAATAAGTTAACATCTGACACATACTGCTAGATAAGTTTTACCTCTTTTAATATTCTTTCGGTTCAGTTCAGTTCAGTCGCTCAGTTGAGTCTGACTCTTTGTGACCCCATGGACTGCAGCACACCAGGCCTCCCTGTCCATCACCAACTCCCGGAGTTTACTCAAACTCATGTCCATAGAGTCAGTGATGCCATCCAACCATCTCATCCTCTGTCATCCCCTTCTCCTCCTGCCTTCAGTCTTTCCTAGCATTAGGGTCTTTTCCAATGAGTCAGCTCTTTGCATCAAGTGGCCAAAGTATTGGAGTTTCAGCTTCAAAATCAGTCCTTCCAATGAACATCCAGGACTGATCTCCTGGATGATGGACTGGTTGGATCTCCTTGTAGTCCAAGGGACTCTCAAGAGTCTTCTCCAACACCACAGTTCAAAAGCATCAATTCTTCAGCGCTCAGCTTTCCTTATAGTCCAACTCTCACACCCATACATGACCACTGGAAAAACTATAGCTTTGACTAGATGGACCTTTGTTGACAAAGTAATGTTTCTGCTTTTTAATATGCTATCTAGGTTGGTCAGAATATCTTCCTAGGAACAGCTTAGGACTGCTACTTAACGCAATCTTCTCTTAATCTTTTCTGATAACTTAAATTCACAGTGCTCTCTCCTCGCTCTGGACTCTCATTGTAATGATCATAAATAATTGTATGTATTCGGCACTTCTTATTTACTATTTTGCTTTAATATATTATACTAGTATATATTGTTTCAATTTTTTTATTTTTTTTTTGAGAAGAGTCTATGCTTTAAGTTTTTGGAACCTTTCAAAGTGCCTAATAGGCTCTCTATATCTATGACAGAACGTTCTAATATTTTTACTTAACGAATTTAAAAATAATCAGTGAAACTGCTTGCACAAGGTTCTAGTCGACTTCTCCATCAAGTTGCCCTCATTTTTCTGTACATTGTAGTGTTTTAGGAGAAGACATGGGGAAGGTGGCAGAGTTGGAGGCACTAGGAATCTGTCTCCATAACTAGACAAAAACTGCAATGGTGGAGTCTGCCTGATATCACTGTTTTTGAACTCTGGAGTCTGTTGAAGAACTGCAAGTTCCAGAGGAAAGCTCAGACAGGCAAATCACATTCATTTCAATTTCAGCTCTTAGGAAAACAGCAGCTGCCCATTCCCACTCGGCAGTGTCGCAGGCAGCTGTGCACGTGTTCCTGAGCGGCTCACGCACAGATTGCAGGAGGCAGAGTACCCAGAAAGGACCGTCCTCCAAGAACCAAGGGTATGTACTCTGATTGCCGACTTTCGTTTCTGACCACGGAAAACGGTGGGTAGCCACTGCTCTCATGTCTTGCGGACGCTTGCAAGCCCCTTTCTTGTTGGCTGAAGTAAATTACATGGGATTTAAAGATTGAGCACCATTTGCTTCCAATTTGATTTTTGCCTTCAACTTCATTTTAATGCTTTAGAATTCAATAAATAAAGATTAGACATTCAAAAACAACTGCACATGAGGGGAAATTTAGAAAGTAAGTGTGCATATTCAGGGAAAACTCGGAAACGGCCTGACAAGACCTGCAGTTTACAACTCAGGCTGATGGCTGGCAGAGAAATATCCTACAGCAATCAAAAAACAGTAACAAAAACTGCAATGTCAAGGGAAAGGCAAGGATCTCACTTCCAAAGTTACCATATTATTAAATTCCAATGTCCAGTATTCCACAAAAAATCACCAGGTATACAAAGAAACAGGAAAGTATGGTCCATTCAAAATATAAATAAAATTAAATGAACAGAAACTGCTCCTGAAAAACATCTGGTGACAGATAGATTAGATAAGGACTATCTTAAATATGCTTGAACAACTAAAGAAAGATGTGCAGAAAATCAAGAAAATGGTGCAGGAGCAAAGCAGAACAATCCTAAGGAGAATGCTCACGTGTGCCTGCTCAGTCGTGTCTGACTCTTTGTGACCCCATGGACTGCTGCCTGCCAGGCTTCTCTGCCCATGAGGTTTTCCAGGCAAGAACACTGGAGTCAGTTGTCATCTCCTACTCCAGGGAATCTTCCCAACCCAGGGATCCAACCCTCGTCTCTTGTGTCTCCTGCACTGACGGGCAGATTCTTTACCAGTGCACCAGCTAGGAAGCCCATCATGAGGAGACAGATAACCTAAGAAGAAATCAACAAGGAATTCTGGGCTTAAAGTACAGTACCTGGTACAAAAAAACTCAGTAGAGGGATTTAAAGGAAATTTGAGCATGCAGAAAGAAGATATCAGTGAACCTAAATATAGAATGGGGGAAGTTGTTGAATCTGAACAACAGAAAGAAAGCAGAGTGAAGAAAAATGAGCAGTCCCTAAAGGACTTGTGTGACATCATCAAGAGGATCATACACATTGTGGGAATCTCAGGAGAGACAGAGAGGGACAGAGAGAACATTTTAAAAAATAATGGCAGAGAACTTCCAAAATTTGATGAAAAACACAAATACAATCAAGAAGCTCAACAACTTACAGGTAAAAAGAACTTAAAGAAGTCCACACTAAGACACATAATAATCAAACTCTCAAAAGACAAAGACAGAGCAGCTAAGATGGCAGAGTAGAAGGACCCTAAACTCACCTCCTCTAACAAGAATACCAAAATCACAACAATCTACAGGACAATCATCACTGAAAAAGACTGAAGCCTACCAGAAAAGGTGCCCTAGAGCTAGAAACAAAAAGATGGAACCACAAAGAGACTGGTAGGAGGGCAATTAAGAATATAATCAAATCCCATTCCCTTAGGTGGGTGCCCCACAAATTATAGAATAATTCTATTATAGAGGTTTTACCACTAGAGCAAGTTCTGAGTCCCAGTGAAGCCCCTAACCCAAGAGTCCAGCACTGGGAAGAGGAGATCCCAGAGCATCTGGCTTTGAAAGCCACCAGAGCTTGATTATAGGAGCTCACAGGACTGGGAGAAATAGAGACTTTACTCTAAAGGGGTACACAAACGTCTCATAGACACCAGGAACAAAGGCAAAAGCAATAACTTCATAGGATCCTGGATCAGAACTACCTACTGATCTTGAAAGGTGTCCTGAGGAAGCAGGGGGCGGCTGTGATTCACTCTGGGGATACAGACATTGGTGGCAGATATATAGGACTTCTCAGATGGCCCAGTAAAGAATCTGCCTGACAATGTAGGAGATGCAGGTTGATCCCTGGGTTGGGAAGATCCCCTGGAGAAGAAAATGGTAACACACTCCAGTAGTCTTGCCTGGGAAAGTCCATGGACAGAGGAGCCTGGAGGGCTACAGCCCATGGGGTTGCAAAGTTGAACACGACTGAGTACACGTGCATGGCAGATATATCAGGGAGCGTTCATCTGTGTGAGCCCTCCCAGAGGCTGATATTTTGGCACCAAGACCTGGCCCCACCCAACAGTCTGTAGGATCCAGTGCTGGAGACACCTCAGGCCAAACAACAAATGAGCATGTACAGACAGGCTGCCTAAAGACTTCCTGAGCCCACAGCCACATCTGGGCTTCCCTTGTGCCTCAGCTGGTAAAGAATCTGCCCACAATGCAGGAGACCTTGGTTCAATCCCTGGATTGGGAAGATCCCCTGGAGGAGGAAAAGGCTAGCCACTCCAGGATTCTGGCCTAGAGAATTCCATGTATTGTATAGATCAGGGGTCGCAAAGAGTCAGACATGACTGAGCGACTTTCACTTCACTAGACATGACCCTGCCCAACAGAGGACCAAGATCCCTCCAGTGGCCATGGGGCTGACACTAGAAGCAAGAAAATTACAGCCCTGCAGCCTGCAAATTGAGTCTACAAATGCAGGCCAGCTAATCCTGGGCCCTTGAATGATGAGAGGGTAGCACACTGCTGGGATGATTTGAACATTTCCTACAGAGGGTCACTTCTCCAAAATCAAAAAAGAGTAGCCAACATACCACATACAAAAAATACAAATAGCAATTTAAAGAAAATGAAGACACATAAAAATACATTTCAGATGAAGGAACAAGATAAAACCCCAGGAGAACTAACTGACATGGAGAAATGGAATCGACTCAAGAAAGAGTTCAGGGTAATGATAGTAAAGATGACCAAAGAACTCAGGAGAATGGATGCACAAAGTGAAAAATTAGAAGTTTTTTTTTTAACAAAGAATTAGAAATTATAAAGAAAAACCAAATACAATTAAAGAATACAATAACTAAAATGAAAACTACACTAGAAGGAATCAACAGTAGAGTAAATGAGGCAGAAGAACAGATCAGTGAGGTGGAAGACAGAGTGGTGGTAATCAGTGCCATGGAACAGAAAAAAGAATGAAGAAGAATGAGGACAATTTAAGGGACTTCTGGGATAACACTAAGCATGCTAGCATTTGCATTATTGGGGTCCCAGAAGGAAGAGAGAGAAAGGGCCTGAGAAAATATTTGAAAAGATAATAGCTAAAAAACTTCCCTAACCTGGAAAGGGACAGTCACCCAGGTCTAGGAAGTACAGAGAGTGT